GTTCCATGAATTATGTATTAGGTAGATTGAAAGGATCAAAATTATAATAAAAGCAGCATACTCTGTATCAGGTACAATGCCTAATACTTTATATGCACTATTTCATTAAATTCTCTTAACTATCCCATGAAGTGGGTGCCATTATTCCCAGTTTACAGTTGAGGAAACTGACTTAAAGAGATTATGTAATTTAGTCAGTGGTAGAGCTGGGACTCAAACCCATGTCTCTTTGACTCTGCATCATATTTCCACAACTGGAAGTTGTGCCAGTTGCCATGGGTGCCAGCATCCAAAGGATGCTATATTTTTTATTTTAGCACACATTTAATACATACTAATTAAATGTCAGACTCTGTGCCAGATACAGAGATAAATGAGAGAATCCTCATCCTCAGGAGTTTTAGCCTCCACAAAACAGATAAGATCAACACAGCGTTCTAATTTCTGTTAATAGAGGCATATACAAAGTCCCAGGGAGAACTCAACCTGTCCCTTTGGGAAGAAGTACCTAAGGAACATGGAAACCAAACATGTCATTTAGGGGAAAGAGAAGCTAGGCCCAGGAGGCCTGATCATATGATAAGTATCATTGAAACCTGTAGTTTTAGGTACAAATTTGTTTGTTGAAATGAGTAGCTAAATTCAACGGTATTAAGAAATAAATATCAGTCTCATGAATTTCAGTTTTGATTCATAAACTATCTGCTCATATCATAAATTAAATAAAAATAGTCAGAATATGCTGCCCTTAAAATGAGAAAACAGTGTTTTGACATGCAAAAAAAAGAAAAGATGAAGACCTTATGCCACATTGAGAGTAGTTTCCATAGGTCCTAGGAGTTAATAGTCCTTTTTTGCTCTGTGTTGATTAGATGGATCACACTTTGATTAGTATCTTCAGTTGGGGCCTCATATTTTAATAGGAATGTTGACAAAGCAGACCAACTATAAAGGAGGGTGACCCATTCTTCAACACTAGCTCACTCAGGTGTCACCTTAGTTATGATACCCTCTCCTACTTCTTTTTTTTTTTTTTTAATAGTTTAATTCAATGGATGTTTATTAAATAATAGCCAGGTAAAAGGCAGTGGGCTGAGTTTAATGATACTCAAATAAGCTTACAATCTATTCAGGTAATAACAGTCACTATATATTAAAATGAACAAGTACCCTCTACTACTTCTATGCCTTTGTTAGTGTTGTCATTCTCTGCTTTGAATGTGTCTCTTATCTCCTTCTCCTGCCCTACCTGTTATCTTCCCAGCCTCCTTATTTCCCTACTAACTCGTGATCATTGTTCCGGATGCAGTTCAAGTGTCCATTTCTCTGGCACTCTTCCCTACCCTGGGTGAAGTGCCTCTTTTGTATTACATGTTCCTTATTATGTCACAATCGTCTACCATTCAACCAGCATTTCTGAGTACTTTTTGGGTTGCAAGGCATTGGTGACAATACAGCAGATACCTGCCAGTGGGAGTTAATTGAATCATTAACTCCCAGTGGGAGTTAATTGAATCATAATTTCCGAAAACTAGTGAGGGAAATAGATCCATATGCAAATGATCTTATTATGAAGTAGCATATCCTAGGCATCTTAAGAGAGATGTAAAATATAGAAGCAGGGAGATAAAATAAATAAAATAGAAAAACAATTCATAGGAAAACTGACTAAAATGATCAAGGGAGACTATATGGAAGAAGCATATAGGTCCAGCTTCAGGGGACAGGAAGAATTTAGGGGTTCAGAGACAGAGAAAGCCTTTCTAGTTAGAGCCAATAACATGTGAAAAGACATGGGAAGGCAAAAACAAATAATGGTAGTAAAAAATAGGAACATGGAGCATCCATGTTATTAATATGATGGTAAATGATAAAAAGATACTTGCCTATATGCTACATCTATGTATACTATAAAAGAAAAAATATTGTTAAGACATACTAGAAAGAAATAACTCAAAATAATAGTGATTTTTGTTAGGGTGGTGAGACTATGGGCATTTTTTTCTTTTTCCCTATTTTCTAATTTTTAAATTTTATTATATAAATTTTTATTCCCTGCCTTTTGGTATTGCATCATAAAGGTCAACTATACCTTCCTTGTTCCTTAATGCTAAGCAGAGGTAGGACTTCTGATTGGTATATACCATAGTCAGATCCAACAGACCTTATCTCTTCCACATGTAGAAGACTTTCTGGAAGCAACATTTTAAAAACTGCCTATAAGATGCCAATAATAGCTAATATGGTTTAGCTGTGTCCCCACCCAAATCTCATCTTGAATTGTAGTTGCCATAATCTCCAAATATCATGGGAGGGACCCAGTGGGAGTTAATTGAATCATAGGGCTAGTTACCTCCATGCTATTCTCGTGAGATCTCATGAGTTCTGATGGTTTATAGGGGGCTTTTTTCCCTTTTACTCATTCTTCTTCCTGCCACCATGTCAAGAAGGATGTATTTGCTTCCCCTTCCACCATGATTGTAAGTTTCTTGAGGCCTCCTCAGCCCTCAAGAAACTGTGGGACTGCAAGTCAATTAAACCTCTTTCGTTTATAAATTACCCAGTCTCAGGTGTATCTTTATTAGCAGTGTGAGAATGGCCTAATACAATATCTAACAAAAGCTAACATTATTTGTAGTGTTTATTCTGTGACAAGTGCTGAGCTAAGCACAGACCTACAATATTTCAGCTAGTCATGACAATTCTGTGAGGTTATTATTGCTATTTTGTTGATGTTATTTTGGGAGTTTTCAGTAATTTGCCCAAGGTAGTATAGCTAGTAAATGACTGGAGCTGAAATTCGCATCCAGGTCTGCCTGACTCTGAACCCTGAACTCTAGTTCTGACTCTCTGGGAAGGCTCACAGTTGGCTGGGGAGAGTGGGTTTGGGGAGGAAAGAAAAATGTGAAAAAAAAAAAAGAACTTGTCTATCACACATAAGGCATTTATTGAGAGGAATGATTTTTAAAGTCACAGAATCAGTTTCTCTGTCAGGAATTTGTTACTAAGAGTTATAGTTTCATCATCTAGAAAAGCGGAATGTATTAAATCTTTTTTGTAATCATATGCTAGTAATGAAAGCATTACATTGGGTTTTTCCTCTCCGTTATCAAATAGCATATTACTCTGAACAATGAAAACTATCACCATTTCTTGCCACATGTTGAAAAGATTACCCACATGTCATAGACCCCCTCTCTTTTTTGTACAGATTTGGCAGCAGTATTTTGCAGCAAAAGATACAGTCTACGCAGTTATTCCTGTAAGTAGTTTGGAGGGGAAAATGAAAGTGTTACAACTTGAAAGTCAGTTCTCTGACCTTAGCAGGCAGTTGCCTTTACTTTTCCTATGTTTATTGCCTCTTGAGAAGCTGCACTTTACAGCGCTGAGAGTTTTTATTATGCCCCGAGCACCAGAGATTGGAAGCTCCATATGGTATATTTATGGTTCTTGTTTTCCTTCATTCTACTTTAAAAATGTCTCTGAGTCAAGCCTCTGACAAGGGAAGGTGGTATAAGTTCATGTTGCTGAGTAATTTCCAGATGTCTTTTTTTTTCTTTTTTCTTTTTTTTGAGACAGAGTCTTGTTTTGTCGCCAGGTGCCAGGCTGGAGTGCAGTGGCACAATCTCGGCTCACTGCAATCTCCGCCTCCTGGGTTCAAGCAATTCTCCTGCCTCAGCCTTCCGAGTAGCTGGGACTACGGGTATGTGCCACCACACCCAGCTAATTTTTGTATTTTTTAGTAGAGACAGGGTCTCACCATGTTGGCCAGGATGGTCTCGATCTCTTGACCTCGTAATCCACTTGCCTCGGCCTCCCAAAGTGCTGGGATTACAGGCTTGAGCCACCGCGCCCAGCCTTTTGTTTCTTATTGATGTTTTCCAGCCAAGCTTTTGGAATTTAAGACAGGGCCTCTAGCATAGCATTTTTCCCTTCTCGTCTGTAAGTGACCTATACCTGAGCTGACTTGGAGCTTCTTCCTACTCTTTCTCTGGCAATTCTCCTTAGTAAGTGGCCTTTTCTTGGTCTTTCCATTCTTGAAATTACTCATAGAGATGATCAGGCCAAGCATGGTGGCTCACACCTGTAATCCTAGCACTTTGGGAGGCCGAGGCAGGTAGATCACGAAGTTAAGAGATCGAGACCATCTTAGTCAACATGGTGAAACTCCGTCTCTATTAAAAATACAAAAAAAAAAAAAATTAGCTGGGCATGGTGGCCCACGCCTGTAGTCCCAGCTACTCGGGAGGCTGAGTCAGGAGAATTGCTTGAACCCAGGAGGCAGAGGTTGCGGTGAGTCGAGATCGCGCCATTGCACTTCAGCCTGAGTAACAAGAGCGAAACTCCGTCTCAAAAAAAAAATAAAAGATGATCACCATCTACTGCTTGACCATTAAGGTCTGTGACAGAGAAGGAATGCTGCTGGCTTCTCTGGTTTAATGTTGTTTTGCTGGCCTCTGCTATGATAAAGCATTTGAAGTACTGGATTATCAGCTAGTTCTTTTTCTCTGAAGGAGGGTGGGGGCTTAGTTTCTATCAAGCACACAAATATATACTGAGATTACATGAGTAAGTATAAGCTTAAGGAGGAAAACATAGACAGAAGGAATTTGTTATAAAGCCAGACCTTTTGGTGGTTATGATGGTATCACTCTTTTTTTTTTTTTAATCTCTCATACGTATATACCCTTATCCTTCATGAATTCAACAGCCAGAAAAAGAGTCTGTACTTTTCAAGATGTTTTAGATCTCTGGTACTGACTCGCTGTTTGAACAGGCCTTCTCAGCTCTCCCTCAAACTGACTTAGTGACTTGATGTCTCTGACCCTTGTCAGAGTTTCCTGGAGCATTTGGAGCATTGGTGTACCAAGTCTTTACACATAATTCTGACAATAAACAGCAAAACAGTTGTCTGGTTTTTCTTGTCTTTCTATCATGAGTAATTTGTAAATGATGATACTTAAAAGACTGTTTTAGTTGTATTATAATTCTAGAATTCAGTCTTGGTGAATTTAAATGTGATTATGGCCTTTTGTGTTTTATTGTTTGTAGGTTAATTTTATTCTTTTCCAACCTGCAGGAAGAAAAGTTTGATTTGATCTGGAACCGAGCTCAGTCCTGTCCAACAGTAAGTTTCTGGTGACCACGTAAGGGTTGCTTATCAATGCTGCCAAACAAGTATTTTCCAACCAATCACATCATATTTTATACTGTCTCATATGTTATAGTGCTGCCTTAATAAAGATGCTCACATGTTGATTGTGCTAATAAGTGACGTTTTCAGCCCTACAAAATGATGTGGATTTGGCCCAATAAGCCTCTGGCTTTTCATCTCCTACCACGTCAGCCCTTACTAATGCAGATCTTAATCTGTCAGTACAATTACATTTCAGAAGGCACCTGAGACCTTAATCTTTTCAACGTCTTTTTTTGGGAGTTTTATTATTTTTAATTGACACATAATAATTATATTTATGGAGTATAGTGTGATATTTCAATACATGTGTGCAGTGAGTAATGATCAACAGGATAATTACCACATCTGTCTCCTCAAACACTTATGATTTCATTGCATTGGGAACATTCAGAATCCATTCTTCTAGTCGCTATTTGAAACGATACAATAAGTCACTGTTGATTATAGTACTTTATAGTACCATAGAAGACTAGAATATATTTCTCCCATCTAGCTGTACTTTTGTATACCTTAACCAAAAGGTTATTGGCTATTCCCTCCTCTAGTAACCACTATTCTACTCTATACTTCTATGAGATCAGTTTTGTGTTGTTTTTTTTTAAGCTTCCAACATATGGGTGAGAACATGTGGTATTTGTCTTTCTGTGCCTGGCTTATTTCACTTAACATAATGTTCTCCAAGCTCATCCATGTTGTCACAAATGACAGAACTTGTTCTTTTTTGTGGCTAAATAGTATTCCATTGTGTTTAGATACCACATTTTCTTTATCCATTTATTTGTTGATGGATGCTTAGGTTGATTCCATATCTTGGCTATTGTGAATAGTGCTACAGTAAACATGGGAGTGCAGATATCTCTTCAACATACTGATTTCCTTTCCTTTGGATATATATCCAGTAGTGGGACTGCTGGATCATGTGGTAGTTCTCTTTTTTTGTTTGTTTTTTTTATTTGTTTGTTTTTTGAGACAGAGTTTCACTCTTGTCCAGGCTGGAGTTCAGTGGCAAAATCTCAGTTCACTGCAACCTCCACCTCCCAGAGTCAAGCAATTCTCCTGCCTCAGCCTCCTGAGTAACTGGGATTATAGGCATGTGCCACCATGCCCAGCTAATTTTGTATTTTTGGTGGAGATGGGGTTAACCATGTTGGTCAGGCTGGTCTCGAACTCCCAACCTCAGGTGGTCCACCTGTCTCAGCCTCCCAAAGTGCTGGGATTATAGGCATGAGCCACTGTGCCCGGCCTCTTTTTAGTTTTTTGAGGAACCTTCATAATGTTTTCGATAATGGTTGTACTAATTTACATTCTATCAAAGTATATAAAAGTTCATTTACAGATGAGGTCTCACTGTGTTGCTTAGGATGGCTTTGAACTCCTGGCCTCAAATGATCCTCTCACCTCAGACTCCCAAAGTGCTGGAATTGCAGGTTGTCTTTTTTTTAATAATAGCTGTTCAAGGCCGGGCGCGGTGGCTCACGCCTGTAATCCCAGCACTTTGGGAGGCCGAGGCGGGTGGATCACGAGGTCAAGAGATCGAGACCATCCTGGTCAACATGGTGAAACCCCGTC